GTTTTTTTTCATGAAAGTATCACAGAAAGTTGAATGGGGGTGGTGTAGTTATGGTCACACCTGACTTGGGTTTGTGGGTTCTCTCTCCAGCTGCTTGGTGCCATTCCAGTCTTTCTGTGGTCTCAAGGTGCTGACACAACCGTGCTGCAGATGCTCTTTAGCCTTTGCCTGGGCTAAACCAGGCTTTGCAAAGCATTTTGGGGCATAATTCAGTTTGTGGGGAATCCCTGATGGTATCCTCTGCTCCTTGTTTAAAGCAGGACCACCATCAAGGTTAGTGCTGGGCTAGAGCTCAGGAAATGTTACATATTCAGAACTGACAGATTTTCAGCAATACTACTAAGGAGCTGCTACTCATTGGTGGATCTGAGGGTGAAAGGCAAGCTGGGAAGGGCAAGAGCTGAGAATTGGTGGTGCTCAGCTCCTCCTTTGGCTGCCCACAGATCTGACTGGTCTGCTCTAGGTGCTGCCAGCTGGATTTTATTTTTACTGGACAGCTTCTGGAGTGGGATATCCAAATGCTACTTCAGTCATGACTACATTGGAGTAAATAATTGAGTGTATTTCAGTGTAAGAGGTTCTAAAGTGGGTGTGGTGTGTCAAGTGTGGATCATTGTTTGCTGGAGTTTTTTGCGCAAGCACATTTGGACGAAGGACATCCCAGTATAAATTCCCCAGTCAGTGAGCAGGTGGGAGATCCAAGGGCCTTTCAGACAGTGTATTCCTTACTGTTATGTTTTCCTGTAACTGCCTGTTTTCCAGTGCTTCAGGAACTAGACTACTTTCTTAAATTTTTAAATACCAACTGATTTTCTTAAAAAAAAAATGAAAAATTGTTGAGGTGTAATATGTTGGTTTATCAATCAGCACTACTCAATCATACACTGTGTGTATCCTGTAATTATGGAGTTTGTGCTTAGGGATTTTGATGTGCCTGAAGACTGAGTCAGTCTGAAGGGTTGCAGGGGTCCATATAATATTCATTAAGCTGGTTTTCTTAATGGCTGACATTACATATTTTCTTAATGATTGACAAGAATGACCCTCTGGACACAGGATTAATCCCAGCTACTACTACTTGTTGGTGGCTCTGGGAGAGAGAGGTTTGATCTGCTAGAGGGCAGGGTTAGATGGGATATTAGGAAGAAATTTCTGCCTATGCAGGTGGGGAGTCCCAGGCACAGGGTGCCCAGAGAAGCTCCATTGCTGGGAATCTCTAAGGCCATACTGGATGGGGCTTGGAGCAACCTGGGATAGTGGAAGGTGTCCCTGCCCACGGCAGGGGGTTGAAACTGGTTGATCATTAAAATCTATTCCATTCCAAATTGTTCTGTGATTCTATGAATGTGGTTTCACCCCAATAAGCCTGTTTTTCTGTGTCTGGTTGCTATCCTCTTATATCCAGAGGGAACAGACAAGTCATAATGGTAAAAAGACAATAAGAAGTCTAAGATTGTGGTGTGTTAGAAGTTTTTTCAAGAAAGGCTTACAGGGACGTCTGACTTCATATTGTTCCTGGTGCTCACATGTGTGACCTTAGAAGAAATCCCGCCTTTGTTATAAAGTGGAAAAGATGTGAAATATTGAACAGGTGAAAATAGGGTATTGTTGAGGTGAAACCTGTGTCATACTGTGAGCTGGGAAAATTAGTGTGAGAAACCTGTCATGTAATACTTTCTTGCAAAACAATGCCAAAAGTGATGCAGAGGAAGAGTGAACTATGCCAGTGATTTCAGGAATGTGAGATTTCACTGGAGTAAATTTCCAGACTGAAGAACAAATGTGAGGTTCAACATTTTTTCTCTATCTTCTGTCCCTTTGCCAGTAGTAGTTAATAAGAAGTCTGTTGTACCTTCAGTCTAGAAACTTTATACTTCATATTTTTACCTCTGAACACAGTCAAGAACAGGAATATAATCTTCCTTCAGCTCATGAAAATCTTCCTACTTCTGTAGCTCTAGAAGGAATCAGCCAGTGTGACCTGAGCCATGCATGATTTCCTGCTTTGAATCTAGTAGCAGTGGACCGTCCTAAAAGGAAACTGAAGAGTCAGCTAAATGTAGAGGTGTGTCCCACCTCAATTTCCCCAACAAATGGAGAAGGTCATTCATTGATGCAACATCTGAAGAGATGGTTCACGGACTATGGTTTTGTGACTGCTGGTTGGTACTTGGCAACTGTTACATGGTCAGTGCAATTCTGGGTCAAAATGCGTCTCCTGACTGTGGAGATGGGTGTTTGATCCTGGTGCCAGCTCTGGATGTTGCTGCATTCAATTTCAGCAATGTGATGAAACACAATCCAATCTGAGAACCACCAGTGCTAGAGGGAAGAGAAGTCAGACCTCATTCACATGCATTTTTCAGGAATGATATAGATACGGAAATTGTAGGGGATCAGGGCAAAAGCTAAACAGGCTTATTTATTGATCATCAAGAAGAGTAGAAACTCCATGGAGCATAATTTGATTGTTTTTTGTTGATCCAGCATGCTTGGAATTCTCTATGTTTCTGCTGCTCCTCAGATTTCCCTTGCCAGAGGCAGAGGAGGTGTTTGGTAGTGACAGAATGGGCTGTGTGGATCTCTGCAGCTTTTTCCTCTTAAAATTTGAAAGTACTATCACTGTAGCCCTTAGGGTGAGAGTGAAGCACTTGGTGTCTCAGATGAGAAGGATTTCAAGTAAAGCTTGTCAGTTATTTATCACAATAGCTGTACAATGTCCCGTGCAGAGTAGCCTTGGGCTTGTAGACTTGGCTGCAGGATAAATTCCAGGCTCACTGAGGCTGGAAAAGACCTCTAAGATCATCAAGTCCAAGCTGTGCCAAATCCCCACCATGTCACCACCACCAGAGCACTGAGTGCCATGTTCAGGCTTTACTTTGACATCTCCAGGAATGGGGACTCCAAACCTTCCTGGGCAGCCCCTTCCAATGCCTGACCACCCTTTCCAGGAAGACACGTTGGTGTTAATGTGGTTGTTGGGCAGATGGATGGGTTTGGTGATGGCCTGGCCCCCAGAGCTGCTGTTCTGTGTTAGCAGGTGCCAGCACATGAGTTCAGGTGAAGAGTTACCTCTACATGCAGGGGCTGCCAGGACGAGCTCTTCTCTCGGGTGTGGAGAGTAGGCTCATGTCTGGGACAGACTGGATCCTCTGGGACTCTGCTGTCTCGGTCCATGTGCTCCAGCAGGTTTTGGCAAGGGTTGTGATTAGCAACTTCATGAATTTCTTTCAGCAGCTGAAATGATGGTTAATTGAATGTGTCAGCTTTAAAAGCACACAAGAGTGGTATCCAGTGCAGACACAGAATGGTGTTTGGCCTCTGTCAGAACAACACATAAAAAAAATTCTTATCCTGAAGCACTTACCTTCCTGTACACCTGGAATTGCCTTAAATATTAGTGGAAATTAGAACACAGAGAAACCTTCTTTCCTTTGTTTGCTGAGATGTGTCACTTAATGTCATCATTAAATTCATACCACTGAATAACTGAAATAAAACACTCAAGAGTCCTGACAAGACAGACCAGTGCTTCAGTATGCAGCTGGGGATGTGGTGGCTTCTCATCTTTACTGGGTGGTGAGGTTAAGACCTGGACATGGGTCATGAGTTAAAACTGGACATGGGAGTTTTCTGATCCCCACAGGGGAACATGTCTCTTGTGACAAGTACACTGTGGTTTTAGGGCACAATATTTACACAGTAAAATTGGAGTTGGAGATGGAGGGGGAACGGCTTCAGACAGTCAGAGGGTATGTTTGCATTGGGTATTGGGAAGAAATCATTCTCTGTGAGGATGGTGAGGCCCTGGCGCAGGGTGCCCGGAGAAGCTCTGTCTGCCTCTGTCAGTGTCCAAAGCCAAGCTGGATGGGGCTTGGAGCAAGCTGGGCTTCTGGAAGGTGTTCCTGCCAGTGGCAGGGGATTGGAACTGAATGATCTTAAAGCTCCCTTTAAACCCAAACTATTCAAGGATTCTGTGATTCTACTTAATAGACATAATAGTGGATATGACTATTTTATGCCAAGCTTTTTTTCCACTCCTTCCTCAAAAAGAAGAAAAATACCAAGTGAGGAAACTCTGATTTCTGTGCCTGGATAAAAGTAGATCTAATACTCTGCATAGCTTATCTTGCTTTTCCCTTCACAATTAATTAAAGCTTATATAGTAACCTTGTTCTCCAGAGAGTTTGGGCCTTTTCATAAAGAACTTAATGAGTTGGAAAATGGATTATAATGTATGTGATAGATGCCAATAGAAAATGCATTTGGCTGCTGAATTAAGGGCCTGGAAACCCAGATCTAAAAAGGGAATAAGAGAAAGCACTTCTACTTCTTCCACCTAGAAAAAGGGTCTGAAACTGCAGTCTTGCCACTTACATAGTTAAAATTATTTTTTTAATAATAGAAACAATGCCTCCTTTCCCCCAGCATAAAAGTGTTTTCTGTTCAGAAACATAATTTTCTTCTGTCACTTTGACCAGAATTTTTCACAACTGCAATGATTCTGTGTGGCAATTTTGCCTCATCTCATACAATAATACTAAAATTTTAATGGAACAGCGGTGCAATTTCTCTGGGTTTTAAAAATTATTATTAAAATTAGGGAGTGACTGGGTTTCTTATGATCCTTCAGTATCCTTCAAACTTCTGATATGAAAGCCCATGGGATGTGTTTTGAGGAAGAAGGAAAAGCCCTTGTGGTGTGTTCAATAGGAATATTTTCCACATCAGGTGGTATTTGTGGCCCATGTTCTCTGGCTTTCAGTTCATTGTGACTTCTGTTTAACAACTGAATTGATTTTTGCCAAGTGTTCATGGCTGAGCAGCTCCCCAAGTTCTCCTGGAGTGGTACAAGCAGGGGATTACTAATGTGTGATACAGCAGAGCCTGGTACATGGTGGGGACAGGTGTTCCCTGGAGCCTCTGCTTGGCTGGACACACACTGCTGCAGCTTGGGAGAAGAGAGGATCCTGAGCCAGACACACCTGAGTGCTCAGCCCATGTCCTTTCTTTCCTCAGCCATGTCTCAGGCCGTGCAGACCAATGGGACGCAGCCTCTGAGCAAGACCTGGGAGCTCAGTCTGTATGAGCTGCAGAGAACACCCCAGGTAATCACAAAACCTTGGGACTGCTGGGCTTGGGAGGGACCTCTGGAGATCACCCAGTCCAGCCCCCTGCCCAGGCAGGGTCGCCCAGAGCAGGTGACACAGGGGCACATCCAGGTGGGTTTGGGATGTCTCCAGAGGGGAGACTCCACACCCTCCCCAGGCAGCTGTTTTAGGGCTCTGGACCCTCCAAGGGAAGAAGTTCTTCCTCGTGTTGAGGTGGAAGCTGTGTTTAGTTTATGGCCATTGCTCCTCATCTTGTCACTACCACCACTGAATGGAGTCTGGCACTGTTCTCTGACACCCCTTGGAGATACTTAATGACATTCCCTTCTCAGTCTTCTCCACACTGACCAGGCCAAACTCCCACAGTCTCTCCTCATCAGAGAGATGCTCCAGACCCCTAATAGGCTTCATGGCCTCCACTGAACCCTCTCCAGCAGCTTTTTTTTTGTTGTGTCCTGCGGGGCTGGCAGCATTGGTGTTTTGTGTGCTTGATGTGTTTGTGTCTTGTCTCTTTGCTGTGTTTCCTTGGGTAAAATGTGCTGTCTCCACGAGGAAGGGACTCAATCCCAGGAAAGAACCTTTCTCTTCTTTGCTGCTAGGAAGCCATCACAGATGGCCTGGAGATCGTGGTGTCCCCCCGGAGCCTGCACAGTGAGCTCATGTGTCCCATCTGCCTGGACATGCTCAAGAACACTATGACCACGAAGGAGTGTCTGCATCGCTTCTGTGCTGACTGCATCATCACTGCCCTCAGGAGCGGGTCTGTGAGCACTGCCAGGGGACACTGCCAGGGGACAGGGAGGGAACATGGCCAGGGCATGGGGAGGGTGGACACTGCCAGGGGATGGGGGGGACACAACACTACCAAGACATGGGGAGGGGACACTGCGAGGGAGGGGTCACTGCCAGGGTGTGGGAAGGGAGCACTGCCAAGACATGGGGAGGGAACACTGCCAAAGATGGGACACTGCCGGGGAAGAGGGATGGGATGCTGCCAGAGGACATGAAGGGGATGCTGCCAGGGGCAGGGATGAATACTGTAGAGGAAAGAGGGCTTGGACAGTCCACTGCACTTGAGGTGGAAGTATCTTCGGCAGGGGTGCAAGGGAGCGGTTGATGTAGGACAGTTACTGTGCGCTGGGAGTTTCTGAATGTTCAGTACACCTTTCAAATCCTGTTTTTCCATGTTCAGCCATCTCTGGAAGACAGATCAAATTGCTTCATCATGAAAAATCATTTCATATTTCTGTTTCTTGTAAGGAGTTGAAGTCCTCTTTTGTGTTCTTTTCTTTTTGGATCCAGTAACAGTAAAACAAAAATACACGTTACTAACAAAATTTGGTTTAATTTCCATTATTCTTCCTTTTTCTAATAATACATTTCGAATTATGTAGCCTTCAGCCATTTCAAATTATGTGTCCTGTGGGTGTTAGAAATCATGGAATCATAGAATCCCAGAATAGTTTGTTGTGGAAGGAACCTTAAAGCCTATCCAGTCCCACCCATACCATGGGCAGGGACACTTTCCACCATCCCAGATTGCTCCAAGCCCTGTCCAGCCTGGCCTTGGACACTTCCAGGGATCCAGGGGTAGCCACAGCTTCTCTGGGCACCCTGTACCAGGACCCCCCAACCCTGACAGGGAAAAATTTCCTCCTAAGACTATGCCTTAGTATAATTTCCACTAGACATCCATTTTTTCTAGGTAAAAATCCAGCCAGAAAATGAAAAGAAGAGGGGAATGTGGGACTTTTGATCTCTTCAGTCTAAATAGTTTGCTCAAACATACTTTAAAATAAAAGAGCAGCAGGGATCTTTGGGAACTTTAAGTGTCTCCAACTACCTGAACTGTCAAGAGACAGAAGCCCCTTTCCACATTTACTATAAATACTGAGTCTTAGGGAGTACTTTGAGCAAGAATGGAAGCAACAGGGCAGACTTGTATTACAGCTGGAGAGTTAAGTGTTGTTTGCTTCCTTCTTGTCCATGTCCAGCAACAAAGAATGTCCCACGTGTCGCAAAAAGCTCGTTTCAAAAAGATCTCTGCGGCCAGACCCCAATTTTGATGCTCTCATCAGTAAGATTTACCCGAGCCGGGATGAGTATGAAGCTCATCAGGAGAGGGTGCTGGCCAGGATCAGCAAGCACAATAACCAGCAAGCCCTGAGTCACAGTATCGAGGAGGGATTAAAGATTCAGGCTATGAACAGGTACGTAATCACCTTGATTGCCTCTAGCCTAAAAATACAATGCCTGTCCTCATGCCTTGTGTAGCTTGAGAATCTTCTCCTCTCCTGTGATACCTGGCAAAACAATCTCTAACCTTTAGCAAAAGAATTTTTAACCATTTGTCTACTATCAGAAATCTCTGTATCACTCCCTGCAACATCTGTGGCAGCCTGATAGAAACTTCAGCTTAGTTTTACCAAACTATGGCTGTCATGTCTTAGATAAGAACCCATAACACCATGAATCCTGTACCAAAGTGCTACCCTTACATGCCAATAAATGCACAGAATACCAGGACTTGGGGCTTAGTTGTGACTTAATTCATAGGTGGGATGGAACCTGTGTTTACACCATGGTGGAATTCCAGATGTGCATTTAAATCTAAAAGGGACAGGTAGGAGAGAGATCCCAAACTTTGCATGATAAAACATGGTGTGATTTAATAATTCTAATCACATGTGGATCCATGTTTGGATTAAAACAATGGTCTGCAATTGCCTGAAAAACAGCTTTGTGAACTTAAAATAGTCCTAAAATACAACTAAAAGGTGTTTGAGGGACATGAAAAAATGAATAGTTCTGTCTATGAGTATCTTTTTATACAAAAGAATTATTATTACTAATTTTTTTAAACTTTAAATCTCCCTGAAATGTTCAGTGCTTATGTGTGCACGTGCCTACCTGGGGAGGAGGTGTTGAGGGTTCTGGATGGGTCAGGGTGTATCTCTGCCTGTTTTTGGCTAGGTTGCAGCGGGGCAAGAAGCAGCAGATTGAGAATGGCAGCGGGGCCGAGGACAATGGCGACAGCTCCCATTGCAGCAACGCCTCCACACACAGCAACCAGGAAGCAGGGCCTAGCAACAAGAGGACCAAAACCTCAGATGACTCTGGGCTGGAGCTGGACAACAACACCACCACTGTGGCCATAGATCCCGTGATGGACGGGGCCAGTGAGATCGAGCTGGTGTTCAGGCCTCACCCCACCCTCATGGAGAATGATGACAGTGCGCAGACGAGGTCAGTGCCCCCATGCCATCTCCAGGTATTCTGCTGCTATTTCCGGTGCTTTGGTTTTCCGTCATTACTTGGGGCTTCTAAATAGCCATTTACTTCAGTCATACCACATCTTGTTTAACTGTATCACAGGATGGTTTGAGGTGGGAGTGACTTTAAAGCCCATCCAGTGCCACCCCCTGGCATGGGCAGGGACACCTTCCACTATCCCAGGTTGCTCCAAGCCCCATTCAGCCTGGCCTTGGACACCTCCAGGGGTCCAGGGACAGCCACAGCTTCTCTGGGCACCCTGTGCCAAGGCCAGGTGCAAATAAGCACTCTTCTCTTCTTTCCGTTCCAAGTCAGGTAGATGGCACTGCTCACTATCATAAAAAATACAGTCATAAGCTGTTTTAAGCCTTTGATCACAAATAAAGATGTTTTTAAGTTTTTCTAACATTACAGTTCACTAGTGGGATGATGGTAACATATAACAGCCCCTTTCTACTTACTCTGAGATTCTTTGGGAATAAACAAACCTTGTATAAGTGTCAGCAGTTTTTAGAGCAGCTTTGTGTCAGCATGATTTGCAGGCTGGCAGCTTTTCCTGATTGTTTTTGTTCATAATCCAGTCCAAGCACAAATTGCAAGTTTTGTCTCACAGCAGAGAGTCAGAGAAAGAGAGTAGTTTTATGGTGTCTCCTCGGGTCTTTTCTTGGCTTTCTCTGCTGATGAGACATCTCTCCCATCACAATGGGTGTAAATCTATACAAAGTTTCAGCTGGGAACTGTCTCTAAAAGGCCTTTTCACAGCTAATGTTTAATACTTGGGGCGTTTCAGATGGGTTTTCCCACAACTGCTGCTCAGTCATTATTGGTGATCTGTGTGGCTGTTGTCACAGGTACATCAAGACCTCAGGCAATGCCACGGTTGATCACCTGTCCAAGTACCTGGCAGTGAGACTGGCCCTGGAGGAGCTGCGGAGCAAAGGTGAATCCAACCAGATGAACCTGGACACGGCCAGTGAGAAGCAGTACACCATCTACATCGCCACTGCCACCGGCCAGTTCACTGTAAGCACTGCACTGCCCCAGTCAGCTGGCTAACCACAGCCCTGCATGCACATCTGCTCAAAACACACTCAGCTGGGCTCTTCCCGAGCTGGCTCAGGGTACAGTTCATGGCACCAGCTTATTTAGCAGCAGATCAGCTGCTTTTTGGCAAAAGCTTGATTGTAGAAAAAGAGGCATAGAAATTATCTGGGGAAAATGCAGTGATAGCAGAAAACATGATCTGGCTTATGCCATTCTTTTCCAATTAAAATTGAAGAGGGAAAAATACTACTTCACTTGAGAATATTTGTGGTTTTTAGCTTGTAACTTGTGCCACGTTTTTGGTTACTTCTTCAAGTCAACACACTTAAATATTGATTTAAGTAGCCTGTTTTACAGCACAACATCAGATGACCTAATTTGTTCCCATTTTGCTGTTCTCTTCTAGGTGCTAAATGGGTCCTTTTCCCTGGAACTGGTCAGTGAGAAATACTGGAAAGTGAACAAACCCATGGAACTGTACTATGCCCCCACCAAGGAGCACAAATAAGTGCTGGGTAACTGGGATGGAACTAACTCTTTTTATAGCTATGACTTCTTTTAATATTAAAATAAGGCATCACCAGTATCTTCATGGACAACACATGTGGTGCTTTCAGGCACTCTCAGTATACTCAGTAATGACTAGACAGTATTCTGAGCTGTATTTAATTTAGTGTTTGGGTTGAGTTATTTGGTTTTTACCTAGGAGACTAAATGACCTTCTCCAGTGCATTCCAGTGTTTGAGATGCTTTTTTGTTCCTAATGCATGATATCTGATCCAGTGTTCCGGTTTGGAATGGCTTTGTTTTGTCCAGGTAAATCTGGATTTCTGCTCCATCTGACACAGTTATAGTAGCCTCTGTGAAGTGTAGAGTGTTGGATGGCTAAGGAAGTCTGTTCAATAGTAGCATATGCCAAGGAATATGTTAAATGTTGGAATTTGGTGACTGTTATCCATCTGAAGAACTGATTGGTAGAGAACGGATTTGGGATAGTCTTGCAGCTAGAGGTAATCTGATTCCCTAGGAAAAGTACATTAAGACATTTTCTTGTGAACAAATGTGAATTTTGCATCTTGTGGGAGGTATTGCTGCCCATGGTAGGGGCTTGGACCAAGATGGTGTTTAAGGTTCCTTCGAAGTCCAGCTATCCTGGGATTCTGGGATTCCAAGAAGAGCTGCAGTGAGAAAACTGACACTTTAAAACTTTGCTATTTACAGGGCTTAATTTAATATTTCAGTGCAAGGTGGTTAATCAGTTTGGTTTGGTTTTGTTTGTAATGGCTATTTCAGTCAAAAAACACCCAAACACCCCAAACCCATAACTCTTCCCCCTGCAGGACATGCCAGTCTTGATTCCTGTCTGGCCCCTCTTGCAATGTTGCCCTGTCCTCACAGCTGAACTGAAGGAAATCTGGATGTTTCATAGCCCTGCTATGTTCCTTAGAATAGGATCTCTGTTGTGAATGTGCTTTAAAGAACTGTCCAGAAAACTTCTTTGTTAAAGCAAATCCCCCAAATTTCCAGCACACAGCCATCAAAATGCTTTGCTCGGGGATTTGTACCACCCCAGCAGGGTCTTTTCCCGGCATCAGTGTGAGTAGAGAAGACTTTGACTGTAAGCTGCTCCAAGATTCTACTTTTGTTACTTTGCCATAGCTTTAACAAACATGGCTTAGCACTTTGGAAGACAACTTCAGTACTTGACAAAGTTTACCATTTAGTGTCTTACCTTTAGGCTCAAGTTTCCCAACATGGGCAGTGGGCCATGCTGTAAGGCATGCTGCTTACAGCAAGGCATGCTGCAAGGCAGGCTGCTGGTCATTTATGTGTACAGCCCCTGTACCCTGACTTTGGACCTTGCTGTGGCTCTGAGAGGGCAGCTTGACCTCTCCCATGTCCTCTCTGAAGGGGAGCTGTCACCACGAGGTTCCCTTTGCTCAAAGACTTGCTGATGAACCCTCCCGTTTGCCCCTGAGGCTTGAAGCAAAAGGTGGGTGGTAGGTGGGAAGCACCAAGCTTTACTCCACACAGTGTGGTTTACACTCCTCCTTTGTCCTGCCTGGACTCTCATTGGCTTTGGCATGTGATACAAAAGTTTTCTGCTGCTCGGGATTTTCCTGGGAAGGATTTGCCTTTCCCTGGCTCTGGGCTTTCCTAGCACTTGTAAATAGTGTCCCTTTTGGCTGCTGTTCAGATCAGCTTTATCCTGCTGTGAAAGCTGCACAGGCTTCTCTGAGTAACTTAATTATTTCCTCTGACTGGAGAGCCTTGGGCTTTTGTGACATGAAATGAAAGTGTTCAGGCCCAGAGCACAGAGGGGCGGCTGTTAGGGACCTGTTTTTGCTGACTTCGTGAAGCGTTGCTGTATAGACTGTAGTGCATGTCCACAGAATATAATGGGGGGTGGGGGAGTGGCTGTGCTAAATGCTTTGAAGTTACTGGGGAAACTTCTAGATTAGTGCCAGCATCCCTCCTGGAGGGAGCTGAGGGGAGGGACAGTCCCTTAAGCAAGAGAGGTGTTGTGAAGCTGAGCAGTCTGTCTAGCTGTCACTTTTGTCTCCAGTTCTTTTGAAAAGCATGGGAGAATGTGAAGCTTTTTATATTCATGTTGTAGTGAATTCCCTGAATATTTATGTTCTTTAAATATTATATATATAATGTAGTTATTTGATTAAACCATTGATTGCACTGTGACTCTTTAGTGCTATAAACTATTTTATTTTCAAAATGCCATTACTATTCCCCCTTTTAAAGGCTATGTTCTTTTTTAAGTACATAATGTGTGTTACATACGGGTAAGCCTAATATCCAACTAAAGTCCCACTGAAATGCTCAAATTGACAATAAAAACAAAAATGTTATCAACAACCTGTTGGGAGTTGCAGTGCTGCTTCCTCTTGTGGTTGATAAAGGATCCCCTTTGGGCACTGCTTGTGTTCGTGCTGCATTGCCTGGGGCTGTGCAGCTGCAGCTCAGCTCCACCAGTGGTAGCTGTTACAGTCCCCTGAAAGCAGCTCAGCTCCTGAGCCTTGAGTGAGAAATAGGGGCACACACGTGTCAGCTCTTCCACTGACCTGTCACAGGTGCTGCTGTTCCAACCAGATCCTGCAGCCTGAGGAAGGGGATGAAGGATTTTCATAGCACTTGTGTTAAACCCAGCTATTTTCAGTGCATTTAACTCTTAGGCAGCTTCAGTCAATAGCAGAGAGCAACTGTAATGAACCCCTTCAGCTGAGGTGCATTATTTAGAGATCATGTTTTGGTTCCTTGTTTTCTCTCTACATTTACCTCAGCTTTTAACCAGAGGATGCAGCTCGAGTTAAGAGGCAATGCTTGTGTATGCCTGGAGTAGGGTTTCTTGAGATGTACTGAACATGGGCACTCTCTGAGGAGATCCTGCTGCTCTCTGGGCCACCACTGCTTACCCAGATTGTCTCTGAACAGCTTAAACTCCAAAAAAACTTCCTTTAATCACAGCTAAACAGGAAACACCCCATGGGTAGGAGGATGTGTCCCTCAGGTACAGAGCAGTAGAGGTTGCACTGTACTTCCCACATTGGTAACTGGATTAAACCTACAGCATAATTTTTGTATTTCTTCTGGCATTTACTCTCCATCCTGCTGTTCAGCTGATGGCCTTGCACTGATTTCCCTCAGTCTTTCAGCAGTTGATCAGTTGTGATTTTCTATTCAGGACAAGCCACTGGCAGAAACACCTTGGTCCAGCAAAGATTTGTTTAAGGTCTGTCATTGGTGCCTGGCACAGCACTGGGTACTAGCTGCTCCAGAAGTGACCTTGAACGAGCTCCCTGGAAGAGCTGTGACCTTGCCATCACCTCCTGCATTATCCTCACCTACTTCCCACTCTGTCTCCTACTGTAACAGCCAACCTGGCCATGTGGATCAGTGCAAGCAGGAACAAGATCTCCCAAGCTCCAGACATAAACCAACACTAATGCTCTTTTCAGCCGATTATGGCAGGACTGACCCTGCCTGGTCAACAGCAGAGACAACTGCTGAACAGGAAGAGAACTCCCCTTCAGCTGGTCCCTGACAACAGGCAAAACCTCACCCCAGATCACGGTCCAGCAGAGGAAAAGAGCCCAGATTGTACAGACAACTCTGAATTTAACTTTTTCTGCCCCTCCAGACACCTGTGAATAGTTGCCTTGGGTTGGAAAAGGTATTCCCCACAAGAGTCTTCAGTTATACTTTTTTTTTAACTGCCTTTACTGTAATCAGAACAATCCCTTGCCTCAGGTAATTGACTTTAGGACTGCTTTTATTGTACTAACACTGAAGGGTGTTACCTGCAAGCAACACTCCACTTAAAAACCCAAAAATGCTACTAGGGACCATCAAATTCTCTCTTTCCTTTTAGCTTTCCAATGTGCTCCCAGGTGATGTTTGGTAAAGAACTGTAAGCACTACATTTTTGAAATAAACTTTGTTGCTGTATCATTGATCCAAGAACTCTTCAGTGCATTCTTCCTTTTTGAAATTAGAGAGTAACTGTCCACCAAAGCAATCTGGAATTGAAGAGGGTGGAAGATGCAGCAACTTCTGGCCTGACAGGAGCATAGTATGTTTTGAATCATGTAGAGTGTATTAGTCATGTTAACTTCTATTGTAAAGTTTCAGAGATGGGTAAGGTTAATAACCCCTCATATTCTGCTCTTAGATAAACCTAACACTGGGGGCCAGGCTGAACACTGAACTTGTGAGAAACAGCCACTACTGTCACAGCTGTTCAAGTGGAATACACAGAAATACGAGAACTAAATGTGGGAAAAAGAAAGGACAAAGGCAAGCTCATTTGGCTGGAATGCTGCCATGTATTTAAAGAAACCAGGACCGCCATCACCTGGCAGCATTGCTCGTTCACAGAAGAGATCTTAGCTCAGAGTTACTACTGACAACTCACCACAAAACTTCACCAGAATGTCCACCGTGGTCCCTTGTCCCTTTCTGCCGCACACAACCACTGTAAGCTCTGAGCAGACAACTAGAGTGACTATACAATTCACTATGGTTCGGTTACAAACTGAAGTTTGGTAGCAGCTGTGTCACCACTCCTTCCTGTTCTCCTGGGATCAGCTCCTGCCTGTAGGCAGAACCCTGGAAACAGACCTGAATGTAGTTACATGTACAAACCTGGAGCTACAGCTGCACCCAGGCAGGACTCCCTGGCTTTAACTCAGGGCATTTTATCCTGTGTTATTACATTACCTTAATATGCCCTCTCTCTGGATCAGAGCTGGCCAGGTTTTAGGAATGATGCATTTTAGGAATAGGCTGTTTCACAATAATCTCATATTCCAAAATGCTGAACACTTTTGACCCTGTCTCTCCTCCTGGATACTGTGGTGGCAGTAAAGCTTGGACAGACTAGGAAGTAGCCTCCATGCTTCAGTGTGAAAAGGAGGTGAGCATAAAAGTAGGTAACTGCACAGCCTTCCCACAGTGTGGATTTCGTGATCACAGCCATACTGGGATCAGGGCTAAGTTGTGCTACCTAAGTCTAAACTGTCCCTTTGAGTACAACAGGCAGGTCAAAATGGTCAAACTCCAGCTTGGGAGGAAGGAGTGGATTACTGTAACAAGTTGTGCTGAAAGTCTGTAACATCCTGATAAACAAATTCATCTGCATTAATTAGCAGCTCAGTAAGTGGGGTAGGCAGCAGCAACTCCAGATTTATCATCTTCCACTAACTCAGCCTCCTCCACCGTGATCACCGTAGCAGCTGGAACCTCTCCTCCCACCTGGATCTCTCCAGGGAAGTGCACAGGGCCTTCTGCCTGTGCCCCCACGTAGGTTGGAGTACTGTACTTCATGAGAACAGTCTTGAACTGCGCCAGGGGTGCATTGGTACGGACTCCCATGGGGTCAAAGTGGGTTCGGCTCACGCGGTATCCATCCTCTGACAGATAGTACAGGAACTTATTTAACCTGGGAAGAAACACAGCAAAACCAAACCCCACATTCAGAATGGACGTGGTGCTTACAGGGCTGACTCGGAACAAGCTGTGTGTGTCAGTGTCAGACCAGGCTGGAAGGTGAGCCCACACTTACTTAGGCATGTTCATGCCCTTGATGCTGTGCCGGTGGATGTTGTAGTAGAACGGGGGGTGCTCAGCACTGTGCTCGGCCCGCTGCCGCTTCGCTGCGCCGCGAAGCACCTCCTCACTTTTCCGTTTCCCTGCACCACAATGAGGCCACAGAAACCACTCAGTACTCACAGGCACCCCAAAAGTGCCAGCAAAGCCTCAGACAAAAACACAAAAACATAGCCACACAGCATCTTCAGCTGTGTGCCTGCTTTTGTAAGCCAGTGTTTGCAAAGGTAAAATCTGGCCTGAATTTAATCAACAGGCCATTTTCAGTAGTAACAAATAAATTCAAGTGACCTTCATGAAGTATTTGGCATTCTGCTTTTACCAAGAAATACAATTCTGGATAAAGATAAAATAAAATCAGTACTGGGTGGGGAAAAAACTTCAGAGTGCAATACTGTTAAATATAAAAAAAGCTACACCAAAATGCTCCACTTACCATGTACCAAGTAGGATTCTGCAGAAGTATTTGGTGTTCTAATATATACACCACACTCTTCTGGAATACAATTAGAATGCAAAATTAATTCTACTGTAAAGTGGCAAAATGCTTTAATTATACAGAAGGAAATAATTATTCAATAAGGCATTCAGCTCTATGGATACGCTGCTGTTAAGTAACTTATCACAGATCAGCATCTCTAAAAATCACCACAAAGCCAGTCATCTCTGTGAACAGGCTGCCCCTTTTCTTACCTTGTTTGTTCTCGTCACCAGGACTGTGAGTAGAAGGATGTTTGAGAGTTGTGCACTCTGCTTCACAAACTAACGTCTTCAGAAGTGGCTGAGCTTCATCCAAGCCATACTGCACAGCCTCCAGGAGCATCCTCCTGAGGAATCCAGTGTTAAAGAGAGCTCCTGACCTACGAAACAAAAAAGAAGTCAAAAGTTTAGGCTTCTTAATGGAAGCTGCTCCAAAATTCTCTTGCCCAAATTGATTAGCAGTTATGTTACACTGTTTTTTTTGCAATGACAGCAACACTGATCTTGTTTAAAAAAAAAAAAATCAAGATCTCAAGAACATTAATTTTATTTCTGCCCTAAGATGTTGAGAAAGTCATTCAACACCTGCAAGAAAGGTACTGTTGATTGCCAATCATTTTTAATACTGTTTTGAAATGGTTAAAAGATTTAAAAATATTTATTCTTGTTTCTACAAATATTAATTTACATGCAATATAATATTTATTACCATCATCACATGTAATGATTTATTTAATGAATTCTCCACAAGTATAGAGTAACAAGAGTTACTTAATATTTGGCCAATAAAGGAACACAGAGGCAGGTTCTCCTGTGCAGGACATACTCCATAAGTGCACTGAATGTGAAATTTAAAATGTGTTACTGTTTATTAACTGGTTTGAACGAAAGGAAAAACTGAATACCCCACTATATTCAGATCCACACTCAGTTTCCTGAGCTCCTCCTGATTGCTGTACCTCCTTTTGTATTGCTGAAATAAAAACTGTTTTGGTATGAACAGCTGAGCTTCAGAGCTCCTGGACCCAGAGTGACTCTCCAAATGTGTCCTGTGATGTGAACTTACCAGAGAGGACCAAGAAGCACTGCAGTCTTCCCAGGCATGCTACCATGGCAGTCACAGGGCAGCTGCTGGTAAGGGTTTTCTGCAGTAGAAAAACAGCATTTAAATTCTTTTGAAATAGCCAGTCATACGTGTGTTACTGCAGAGATGATACAGATACAGAGAGATGCAGTGGGAGCTCACTTCAGTGAGGTATTTGGAAGGACAACAGCAGAAGTGGTGAC